GGAACCAGGGATTGAATTCGGGCCTTTTGCACTTGCCAGGGAAGTGCTTATTATATTCTAGTAGAAGTCCTTTATCTGGAGGATAATTAGTTAAATTTTTTTCCCACTCTATGGGTTCTTTTCACTCTGTTGGTGATTTCTTTTGATGTGCAAAAGCTTTTTAACAAGATGAGGTCCCAGTTGTTGATTCTTTGAAATAATTCCCTTGCAGCTTGGGTTTTATTTATGAACTCTCTGCTTATACCTGTGTCTTCAAGACTTCTCATTTCTCCTCCAGTAGATTGTTTTTCATCTATTTATTTATCTTTATTTACTTGGTACAAGCTCTTGTTATGCAGCTCAGACTCATAGTGATCCTCCTGTCTCATCCTTCCCAGCACTGGGATTATAGCCATGTACCACTATGCCCAGTTTCAGTGGCTGGTATGGTGCATCCAGGGTTCTGGGGCCCAGCATGGCATGCGGTACCAGGGATGGAGCCTGGGTCCTTGTGCTTGCCAGGCAGGCACTTAGACTGCCGAGCTCTCTCCCCAGCTCTCTATTTTAATATTTAGATCTTTAACCCATTTTGACTATAGTTTAGTGCATGGTGATAAACGTGGTCTAATTTTAGTCTTAAGTATGTAAAGAGCCAGTTTTTCCAGCACCATTTATTAAAGAAAGCCTTGTACTTTTAAAGGCCTAGTATCCAGAATATATCAAGAACTCTGAAAATTTGAGAAAGCAACCGACTTCCTTATTAAAACAACAAAAGATTTGCACAGGTATTTCACCAAAGAAGGTATGTAGGTGGCAAATAAACCTGGGAAAAGATCAACATTATTACCCCTTAAGTAAATATATTAAAACCACAATGAAATACCACCTGGTGTTCACTAGGATGGTTATAATTAAAGAGCCTGATCATACCAAGAACTACTAAAGATGTAGAGAAACTGGAATTTTCCTACATTTCAGGAGAAAATATACAATGATACAACTTTTCTGAAAAGTCAAACACCTGCTGTATGATTCATGTATTCTACTCCTCGGTAATTGCCAGAGAAAATGATAATATATCCATATAAAAACTTGCGTACATATTTTACAGCAACTTATAAAAACAAAAACTGGAAGTAACCCAGATTTCTGTCAGCAAATAAATGGTAAAACAAGTTGTAGTTTGTCTATACAAATAGAATATTACTTAGTAAGATGTATGATCTGTTAATATACACAACATGATGAATCTCAAAATAATTACACTGCATGAAAGAAGCTAGATCTTTCTCAGTGTTTACTGTATGGTTCTAACTCTGGAAAACACAAACTAATCTATAGCATTAGAAAGCAGAATAGTAGTTGCTTGGGAACCAGGATGGAAGAAAGACAGGGAAGCTCAGAAGGAACATGAGAACACTTTGGAACATGATGGCTACATTTATCTTTTCATTGTGAGACTGTCCAAGGTGTATCCACATGTCTAAACTTATCAAAGTATACACTCTGTATGTGGGAAGTTTATTATATACCAACTATAGCACCACATGCTGCGCTAGCCCTGCCCCCAGAGTAGGCTGAGCTGGCCACACATACAAAATAAAACAAATAGGTAATTGGGGGCCCGGGAAATGGCTCAGTAGAATAAGCGCTTGCCTGGCAAATGCAAGGGCCTGAGTTCAACCCCCAGTTCTGCCACAAAAAAAAGTGCTCACTAACTATAATAAAACACTTTAAAAATTAAAATGTACCTTTCCCAGAACAGCCTAGGAAGTAAATAATTTCACTTTCTTTTTTTTTTGTTGTTGTTGCTCGAGTGCCTTCAGGGCACTTTTGGCCAGCGGGAGAGGTGTGAGGTTTGAACTCCAGCAACCTGAGGCTGACAGCTTTGTGGAAGCAGCCACTTAAAGTCCTGAGCTAGGGCCAGGCCCCCAATAATTTCTCTTTCAACTTACTTAATGCCTGAATTAAGTAAACAGGAACACTTCTTTTAAAATTACAGTGAGTTAAAATTATACCTATTATTGACATTTCTAAATATGTTTTTATTTATTTTAAATGGATTTTTTTATAGTTTGAAACTTTGGCCATAGGCTTGAGAATTTGGATCCCTTTGGAAAGTCAGACCAGTCATGGTGACGAGTGGCAAGGGTGGCCTTAGCCTGACAGCACTAGTGGCTTCTATGGCTGATTTCCATCTTCCTCATTCCACATGCACAAGCAACTTCTTTTTATAATTTTCCTTTCCACTGTTGGTCTGCCTGTAGAGAAAAGTATATTGCTTATGATGGCAGAAATATTCTGAGCCATGCAATACTCAAATTTAAATTACTTTCATTCCTTTTATATCAACCAATTGGCATTCTGGTTTTAAGAAGAAAAAGAAAGCCTGACTCAGATTATCTAAAATCTTAAAACTAGAGCAAATATATTTCTCAAGAATTTTGATAGGATTCCTTCTAATCAGTCAGTTCTCTACCTTGCCATGTTAATAATTTGTTTAATGCTTGATATTAACCTGTGATTCTGTGAGAATTTTTCTTGACTAGAATTTATAAACAGTGTAACAACTATAATTATCCAACCTTACCTTTTCTTTTCAAGATAATTATTTTGATTACTTCTCTTGCATAAAATCTTTGATAGTCTGGACTTCATAAAACATGTATCATTGAAACAGATGTGTCATTATTTTGTCACCAGATGTCTTAATTAGCTAAGACCTTTTCTCATTACTAAGTCCTCCATTCCTTATTTATTATGGCCCTCCCTGAGGACCATTTCTGTTTCAAAATAATGTATTACCCAGTGTTTTCTGAAGGTAGTCTAAACTCAGAATAAAAACAGGCAGGTATGTTAAATTTCCAATTATAATAAGAACTTAAAATGAGAAGAGGACTGAAGAGTGCACCTTTCTCCCTGAAGTTAGCATCTCTTCCTCTTTAAGAATCCCTGCTGTTCAAGTGCCCTTTTTGAAAAGGTGGTACTGTTGTGTAGGGCATTGTTCAAGGAAGCCCTATTCATTATTGATCAACTTAAAGTGTATAGTTTTTCCCTTAAGATAAACCAATATCATTTTCCCCTCATTTCTGCATGTAAATCCAGAAGTTAGATAGAACAGTAACAGTCATTTTTAAAAATGTCTTGCTTTTTAAAGAATCTTTTAAAAAAAAAATAATCTATCCTACCCTCTCTGGAATATAGGCTAACTCTGTGGTTTGTTTGTTTGTTTTAACAGGCATTGCTGTATGTATTTGAAGATAATTTTACCTAGGATAAACCTTTCCAGCTCCTTTTTAACTTTTCATGTACTATCATACCCAGAGTGCTCAGATCTGGGTACCATTTCAAATATTCATTTGTCAGTGTTATAGATCTGAATGATTGCTGTTAGCTTCTCTGTGTCTCTCATTTTTATGTCATATGTGTAGCAGAGTCTTTGCTCACTTGGCTGCTGTCTTTCTGTGTAGAGCAGCTGCTGCTTTTAGGTCATAGGCTGCCGCTACAGGGAGGACCCCACTCAGCCAAGAGGTCCCCATCAGTCATTCTTCTGCTCCCACAAAGAGGAACCCTTTACTTGCCTGGGGCTTTGTAACCATAAGTGAATATCCCCTTGCCTGAAAATGAGGACTTAAGGGTTTTATTTCTGCTCTTACCTCATCTTATTTCTTTAATCTCACTTTCTCAGCCTTTGAAATGTAGAAAGTATTTGCCAAAAGATATTTATTTGGTGTTTTATTTTCTATGAAGAAAATATGCTTTA